CATTCATCGAAACCTTATTGAAGCGTCACAAAAAAACGTCGCAAAAACTTCGGACCGATCGCAACTGGTTGTCATCGCTTCGAAATGGTTCCTGAATGGTCCGAAGTGGTTGCGATCGGTCGTGCTCCCCTCCGCCTCATCCTCCTCCTCCTCCTCTTCCTGCTCGTCTCCCGCCCCACGATGGCAGACACGGAACTCCGTAGAGCGATGGACTTGTCTGACATGACAGCGACGTTCGCAAAAAAAGGCGGTGTCAAGGCGTAACTAGTGGTCTACGGCATGCCCCGACCTGAACGATACCACCACCACCACCACCGCCATCATCATGACCATCATCACCATCGTCACCACCGCCACCACCAACACCACTATCATCATTATCATCATCATCATCATCAGCAGCACTACCACCACCACCATCATCATCAGCATCATCATCATAGTCACCATCATCATCATTATCATCATCGTCGTCCTCCTCCTCCTCCTCATCAACATCATCAACATCATCAACATCGCAATCATCAGCATTTCATTCATCATCATCGTCATCATTATCAACACCATCATCATTATCATCATCATCGTCATCGTCGTCCTCGTTGTCGTCGTCGTCGCCATCATCATCACCACCACCATCATCATTATACGCATCATCATCATCGCCATCTGCAGCATCAGCATCATCATCATCATCATCATGCTCATCATCATGGCCATCATTCTAATCATCATCAGCAGCATTATCAGAATCATCATCCCGGTCTTCGTCATACTGACCATGATGGTCATCCTCATCATCACCATCATCTGAATCACCGCCACCATCATCATCACCGTCGTCATCACCATCATTATCGGCATCACCATCATGAGCACCACCATAAGCGTAATGATCATTATCATCATTATTGTTATCATCGTCATCGAGATCGTCTTGATCGTCATCATCGTTTTATCATCACCCGCATCAACAGTAATATCGTTATCATCATCATCACCACCACCAAGTAATAGTGACCATCACCTCATTATGCTGATCATCTTTATCAAGAGAAATATTATCTACACCAAGATCCTCATCATTACCACCAGTATCCTCATCCCCATCCCGATCCTCATCATCATCATCATGATCGCCATTATCATCATTATCATCATCATCAACATCATCCTCATCGTCATCATTGTCATCATCATCAACATCATCATCATCAACATCAACATCAACATCAACATCAACATCAACATCAACATCATCATCATCATCATCATCATCATCATCATCATCATCATCATCATCATCATCATCATCATCATCATCATCATCATCATCATCATCTTCATGATCATCACCATCATCATCATCATCATCACCATCATCATCATCACCATCATCATCCTCACCATCACCCACGCCATCATCACCGCAATCAACATCGCGAACATCTTCATCCTCATCACCATCACCACCGTCATCATCCTCCTCCTCACCATCATCATAATCACTACCACCAGCACCACCACCATCCTCACTATCATCATAATGATCATCACATCAGCATCAGCATCATCACCATCACCATGACCATGACCATGACCATCATCATCATCATCATCATCATCATCATCACCATCATCATAATCATCACGATCATCCACATCAACCCATCATCGTCCCCATCTTCGAAAATTGTTATATCTGTGCACATTGCTGCATCCTCACGTACACACATAAACACACATACGCAAACGCGTCATCATCAGCACCCCGTCTTGTGGCTAGTGTGACCGAACATCAGAAAGCACTCTGGCGCGCAGCGCCCGACTTTTGTTCCTCGGCAGGTACAAGTCAAACTATCAACGCTGGAATGGTGCGAGCATCTTGCGCCGGCCTGACCGCTTCTGGTCACCATCGTCGCCAACACCATCATTGCAGGCGCCCCACTATCGCCACCACATCGCCACCATTGCCACCACCGCCGCCGCCACCACACATCGAAAGCATCATCAACGCTACCGCACTCCCGTTGCTGTAACTACCTGGTGCTGGGGATCGTCTCTAATTCATACGCTGATGTCTCCCAAACCCAGAACATCCACCCCAATGGATCCCACTGTTACTCTCTCAATTACTCTCTCAACTGTATTTTGTTCCGTCTGCCCGGCTCGTGGAACCAATATCCACGTACACGTAGTGCTTTGACGCACAACGCCACCCGAGAGAAACACGCGCGAACGACCCGTCTGAGTGTCATCGCCATCACCGCCACGACTCCGCCACCATGTATCGCCGCAGCGGTGGTCGTCATCCGTTCCTCGAAGAAAAAAACAGTGACATAAACATACGCTCTCGCAGGTCCGCGCGGATTACTCAGATCTGCGCTGGAACTCTGCCGTTGTCGGCGCCGTCGTCCGGCGCCGGCGTCGTCGTCGTCGCCGGCGTCGGCGCCGGCGTCGGCGCCGGCGTCGGCGTCGGCGTCGGCGTCGTCGTCGTGTCCTGCGCCGCTTCCGCGGCCGCCCGGGGTCTTGCGCGGCGCCCGGCTGCCGCGGGGGGCTGCGGCGCCCCAGGCGGGCCCCTGCGGAGACAGCGGCGGGCACCGCCGGCGGGTGGCGCGGCCGACGGGGCGCAGAGCCGGACGCCCGCCGCCGCGGCGGGCCTGCACGGCGAGCGGGAGCCCGCCGCCGCTGCCGCTGCCGCAGGGCCGCGGGAGCACACGGCGGGAGCGCGCTGCCGCAGCGGGGCGCGCAGGAGCGCGCCGGGCCCGAGCAGCGCGCCCTCCTCAAAAGGGCAGCCGAGCTCGCGCTTCGCGCTGCGCGAAGCGCGAAGCAAGAGGCCCCAAGGAGCCTCCGACAGAGTCCCAAAAGGGTCCACGAGGGCCCCCATTACGGGCCACAGCGCCCCCAGCCCCAAGGCCCTCAAGCCTCGAGGAGGCCCCACGCTGCCCCCCAGCGGCCCACGAGAGCGCTCGAAACGCACCCCAGCACGCACTCCTCCTCGGGACTCTCACCCAAGCCAGAGACTTCCTCCCCCCAGGGGAGAAGCTAAGGATAAGATAGGACACTGCTGGCGACGACGCGCGGCGGGCGAACGAGCACATTGGAGTGACTGGGCAGGAAAGCCCTCTCACCCGCACTGGAACTGGCGCCCGCCTACCAGAGGACGAGGAGGATGAGGATGAGGAATCGCGGGCCGCGAGCCACGAATTACTTCGCACCCTCGTGGCGGTCCGGCCCTCGCTCCCGCCCGGCGACCTCCCCCCAACAGCGTGCACACGGCATGCACGCAGGCTGCAGCCGACACGCACGGCCTGCGCCCAGCCTCACCGAGGGTGGTCAACACAAAAACCCAAAACATCAAAAAACATAGAATTACTCCGACGGTAGGACCCCGCATAAAAACCTGTTTAGCTTACCCTTTGTCATTTCCTCCTCCCCCTGGCGGACATCCTCCGGCCGCCGTCGTCCTCCTCAATTCCTGTTCCTCGTCCTCCTCCTCCTCCTCCTCCTTCTCCTCCTGCGCCTCAGCTCCAGCTCGCATGCTTCGAGCTGGCTCAGCGCGGGGACTCCCGCGGGGACAGACCGGCGGGCTCCCGCCTGTGACTTCCTCGCGAGTCACTCACAGACGAGGCTCCCGCCTGATACATCCTCCTTATTCAAGCCCTCCGGAGACCAAAAGTGACGACAGTTACACGTTTCGGATGACCCGCCTCGGATTAAAAACATGAAGTGCGGGCCCCATAGGGGAGAGGCTTCCCGCCTGAGACTTCGTCGCAATTCACTCACAGACGAGGCTCCCGCTTGATATTTCCTCCAGATTCACGCCACAGAAGCCCAAAAGTGACGACAGTTACACGTTTCGGATGACCCGCCTCGGATTAAAAACATGAGGTGCGGGCCCCATAGGGAGAGGCTTCCCGCCTGAGACTTCGTCGCAATTCACTCACAGACGAGGCGCCCGCTTGATACTTGCTCCAGATTCTCGCCACAGGGGCCCAAAAGTGACGACAGTTACACGTTTCGAATGACCCGCCTCGGATCAAAAACATAAGGTGTGGGCCCCATAGGGAGGGGCTCCCGCCTGAGACTTCCTCACAATTCACTCACAGACGAGGCTCCCGCCTGATACTACCTCCATATTCAAGCCAGGGAGTGAGTGAAGACGAAATGATGAGTGAGTGAATGATGATGAAGATGAGTGTGTGATGAATGAGTGATGATGATGCTGATGATAATCATGATGGCCACTGAGTGGGTGGTCGAGAGATTATCATGGAGATGGTGACGATGATGTTGAGAGTGGCGGCGGTCCTACCGTCGGAGGACCACTGCCTCAGAAGCCTACTGAGGATGAGTGAGCAATTGAGTAAGTGAGTGGGTGATCGAGTGGTGATGATGGTGACGATGATGATGATGATGATGATGATGATGATGATGATGATGATGATAATAATGATGATGATGATGATGAGGAGGAGGAGGAGGATTATGATGATGAGTAGTGATGAAGGATTATGATGATGAGTAGTGATGACGGTGATGGTGGTTGATGGTGATGATGATGGTAACGATGATGAGTGTGTGACGATGATGGTGGTTGATGGTGATGATGATGGTGATGATGGTGAGTGTGTGTGAGAGAGAGGAAGGGGGGGGTGTGAGATCCTGCGCGGCGTGTCCAGAGAAAACAAGAACCCCACTTTGGATGTGGGGAAAAACACGGGGGGGACCAAACAACGAGAAAACCTGGACAACAATAATGAAAAAACATGACTTTTTATTTTCATTTTCTGAGGGCCGGCTCGGGGGGGAGGCGGCGACCTGGGATCGGCGACCGCATCGCGGACAGGTCGGCAGTGAGCCCCCGATCCCGACAGGCAGCGAGGCTGCGCGGCACTGTGCGGGGCGGGGGTCCCGGGCCCCGAGCGGCGCGGAAGGCGCGACCGAGGGCCGAGGCTCCCCCCCGGGGGCCAGCCTCCCCCCCGTCGTTGAGAACCGCGTCCTCCTCCTGCTCGCTCCTGCTCGCTCCTCCTCCGCGCTCTCGCTCCTCGCCCCTCCTCCTTCCCCTCCTCCTCCTCCTCCTCCTCCTCCTCCGCCTCCTCCTCCTCCTCCTCCTCCTCCGCCTCCTCCTCCGCCTCCTCCTCCGCCTCCTCCTCCTCCGCCTCCTCCGCCTACTCCTCCTCCATCCCTCCTCCTAACATCTACAACTAACTCCTCCTGGGTGCACCCCCAGACGTGCGGGGTAGGGCGGGCCAGGTGTTTCGCCTGAGATTTCCTCAACCATTCATGATCCCGAAGCTTGAAACTTGCAACAGTTTCAATGACGGAGGGCAGCCCAGTTTCAAAACGTGGCTCTCGCCTTACCGCCGCGCACATTCGCCTTCAATGTCTGCAACTGCTTCAAAGATAGAGGGCACGCGGTTTTCAAAATACGGTCCTCGCCGTACTGAAGCGCACATTCGTCATCAAAGTTTGCAACAATTTCAATGATGGAGGGCGGTTGCTTTTCATAATGAGGCTCTCGCCTTACCGCAACGCATCTCCGTCTTCAAAACTCGCAACTGCTTCAAAGATGGAAGACACGTGGTTTTCAGCATGTGGCCATCGCCGTACTGCCGTGCACATTCGTCTTCAAACTTTGCAGCAGTGCCACGGATTGAAGGCGATTGCTTTTCATAATGTGGCTCTCGCCTTATCGCCGCGCATCTCCGTCTTCAAAGGTTGCAACAGCTTCAAGGATGGATGGCGGCTCAGTTTCAACATGTGGCTCTCGCCTTACCACCGCGCAATTTCGTCTCAATTTTGGACCTCTTTGAAAATTCATATGGTTGAAATCACAGGAACAGCGCCCTGGTATGATTAGGACTGTCCAGCCGCTAAAGTGGCGTTGACTCGTAGTGTGTAGTTCCAGGAATGATCAGGAACGGTTTTCTGGCACGACTTAGGACTGCCATGACGTGACAGCGTTGAAGTCACAGGCCTTGTGTTTGACACGATTGAAGATTCTCAGACGGTTGTTTTCTTCTGGGCCATTCCCCGCAGTGAAAACAAGATATTCTTGTAGAGGCCCATGAGGAGGGAACTTGGATGGAGGGCTTACTGCCACATCCTTGATGCGTCTCGGGTGTGCACTGGTCCTCCTCTCACTCCTCCTCCTCCTCCTCCTCCTCTTCCCCTTTCTTCTTCTTCTTCTTCCTCCTCCTCCTCCTCCTCCTCATCCTCCTCCTCGCTGCTACCTCCTCCGCTGCTTCCACCTGGGGAGGAATCCCCGCGCGGGGGCCGCTGAGGCCTCAGGGCCCCTTCTGCTGCAGGCGGGGAGCACCAGCAGCCCTGGAAGGGCAGGCAGGCCCTCGCCCTCCCCGGGGAGCCCTCCCCGAGGAGCGCCCGAGCCCGTCTGGAGGAGGCCTTCCTGCCCCCTGGGAGGGTCGGGCGGCCCCGCGGCCTGCGCTCTCGGGCCTGCCCCCCCCGCGCGCCGTGCATCCGAGGTCACTCCGGCGCAGGGGTCGCCCTTGCGCGCAGCCGCCTCCCTCCCGTCTCTCGCCTTCGCGAATCCCATGTCAAGCCTCTGGCAGCGTTTCGGGGCGATCCGGACACCCCCGGGATGCTCTCAGAGAGAGGCGCAGTCGCTGGAACGCACCCCGAGGCAAGGAACCCCCAGAAACGGACGAAAAACGGCTGATCGCGTCCGAAAACGCGTCGCCAAACAACGACCACGACGAGAACGCCCAATGCAGTCAGGCAGCGTCCCGCGGCACCCCCAACAAGGGAGGACGAGGAGGATGTGGACGAAGAGGAGGGAAGAGTGAGGACAGAGGAAAGAGGAAGGGCCAAGGAGCGGAAGAGGAGGACGAGGAGGAAGAGGAAACGAAGGACGAGGAGGAAGAGGAGGAGGAAGAGGAGGAAGAGAAGGAGGAAGAGAGGACAATGAGGAAGAGGAGGAGGAGGAGGAGGAGGAGGAGGATCAGGAAGATCAGGAGGAGGAAGAGGATGAGGATGAGAAGGAGGAAGTCAAGGACAAATCATAATATGAGGGGAGGAGGAGGAGGAACACGAATAATAAGGATACTAATAATACGAATACTAATAATAAGAATCATAAGACTAGTAGTACTAAGAAGACGAATAATAATACTTGTATTAAGAGCGAGAAGGATCATAACAATAATAATGCGCATAATAAGAAATTAATACTACGAGTAATAATACTAATAATAGTAGTAATAATACTAATACTAATAATAGTAGTAATAATAATAATAATAACTATAACAATAACAATACGAATAACAATAATAACAAAACTAAGAATAATAATAAGAAGAAGGGGAGGAGGAGGAGGAGGAAGAGGAACACGAATGGCGGGGGTGGAAGCTGTACGAGAGAAAACGTGGCGACGAAAAACTGTTGATTGCATATGGTCCCGTACAATATATACACACGCGCCAGCGCTGAAGCCAAACGGCGGCAGCGCATCCTATTTGAGGCAGAATTGCGCGGGCGATCGAAAAGCTCTGGCTGAGAAGAAGGACAAGGGAACAAGGGGACCATAACTGTCCAATCCCAACACATTCTAGACTCAGCAGGGACACCCCCGTCGTTGTCTGACCCGGAGACGCGCGATGCGGCGGGGTGCGAACTCACCCTTATGACGGGTAGCCCCCTCCTGCTTTTAGGACCAGCGCTGGAGCTCACGCAGGTGGGTTCGCCTAGGCCACATCTGTGTATGTTGGTGGCCTCAGGCCGCAAACGTGGTGTCTGAATGCATGTCTTAAGACTCAGGCCAAACGATGGCCCTGGGGTCGCGTCAAAGGCGAGGTGGAGGTGTGAAGACGCCTTGACCTGGTATTGGAGAAGGTGATGGATGGAGAGAAACCGCGAGGGATGCGCGCTCTTTTCGGCGCGACCGCCTCGTGGGCCACCGCAATCGAGAACTGCGGGGGCCGCTCCGTCCACGGCGGAAGGCCACCTCCTCGCTGGGAGCGCCAGGAGCCTCGGCCTCCTCAGCCTCGGCGAGGAGGAGGAGGAGTGAGATCGTGGTCGAGGAGTGGAGGAGGAAGGAAGGGGGGGGAAGGAGGAGGGGGGACGGAGGGAGAGGGGAGGAGCAGGAGGAGCGACTCCCCAATGAACCCCCTCCGCTGTGCCTGCGGCGGCGAGCGGCTGCGCGCTTTTTCTCCTCGTGCGCAGCGAGGCGCCAGGCGCGCGCGCCCTGCGCAGCTCCGCTGTACTGGGCGGGCGGCGGCGCCGCCCCGCCCGGTTTCGGCGCCGCGCGGGGGGGGGGGCGCCGGGGCGGGGCGACCGCGCGGGGGGCCCCCTCCTCCTCCTCCAACCTCCTCCTCCTCCTCCCTCCTCCTCCTCCTCCTCTCCTCCTCCTCCTCCTCCTCAACCTCCTCCTCCTCCTCCTCCTCCTCCTCCTCCTCCTCCTCCTCCTCCTCCTCCTCCTCCAACCTCCTCCTCCTCCTCCTCCTCCTCCTCCTCCTCCTCCTCCTCCGCCTGCTCCTCCTCCTGCTCCTCCTCCTGCTCCTCCTCCTCCTCCTCTCCTCCTCCCCCCCGACTGGGGGCCCAGAGCGCAACAGGGGCACGTCCACGAGAAGCCTTCCACAGGAGGCCCAGCCCTGAGACCCCGGGGACGTCCAGAGCAAGACGGTACGTCGAGACCCAATGCACCCAGGGCACCCTGGAGGCAAGCAGGGTGCTTCTTGGCAGGGGCCTCCACTGAACTGCCCCGACTCCGGATCCGCCGACTTTGCCTGATCCTCCGACTTGACAAGTGTGTCGGGGATGCACCCCGAGCGATGCAATAAAAAATGGGGCGGACAATTCCGCCTCAGAAAAATGGTGCGGGCATGTCCGCTCTTCTTTTGTGGCGCATTTATATCAAACTGCTGACAACGTAGGGTGGGCAACCAAAACAGCATGGCGGAAACAGCGACAGAGAAGTACGGCGGATATCGACATTACAGGAGCTTGAAAAATAAGGCTCACATGTCTGCCCTACTTTCGCAACCGCCCCAAACAGGGCGGATCCAGAGTCAAGGCTGGCTTAGGATCCAAGTACCAACCTGACCCCCATCCGAGCCAGAAAAGTGCCACCCCGCTTGGGGTGGACAGGGTGCTCTTGGGCATGTTGGTGAGCTTGCTCTCGTCGCGAACGCCCTGACACTACACACATTCGACCACGGACCCCCGTCGGCCTCAGGCGGCCTGCGGCGGTCTTCCTTGGCGGTTTTCGGCGGCTTCTGGCGCCCCCGCGTGGCCGCCCCTGAAGGCTGAGCAAGGGCTCCCAACTTCGCGCTTCGCGCTGCGCGAAGCGCGAAGTGCGAATAACTTCGCGCCCTCGCGCCGCCTCCCAAGGGAGAAGAGAAGGATGAGGAAGGATCGGAGCCGAGCCGCGAAGCGCGAAGCGCGAATAACTTCGCGCCCTCGAGGGCGCCCTTGCTGAGGGGCAACGGCAGGGGGGGGGGGCGGCCTAGCGTGAGAAACGCCGAGCTGGAATCGGCGATGCATCGCCGACAGATCGGCGGTAGGCACCAGACAGCGAGTCCGCACGCTCCTGGGCTGGAGAGGGGCACCGGGCCCCCGTCGGCGATGACTGGGTGATTGGGGGTCGATGCGTCCCCCCCTGCGCCTGTGCGCGTCCCCTGTTGTTCGGCCGTTCGGGACGACCCGGACACTCCAAGACGCTCTCGGCGAGGCGCAGCTGCTGGAGAGCACCCCGAGGCTGGGACACCGCCGAGGACCAGCGGAAACGCTCGAAACCCTCGAAACCTCGAGCCTCATCCCCCCCTAACGCTGCCCCTGAAAGGGGGGAGAGAGAAAGAGCCCAGAGGAGCAAAGGCCTCCATCATTCTGGAGGTCGGACCTCCATTCTGAGGGCGACAAGCCCTCAGAATGAAAGGGAACAGCTTTCAGCACGGAGGTAGGACGTCGCAATCGCAGTCGCAGCAGTGGTCCCATCGAGCAGTGCCTGGCCATCGCTCGGACGTCCATTCCCTGTGTTTGTTTCCGTTTCGTGCGTGGCCTTTTCGCAGGATGCTCTAGGATGCTCCTCAATAATCCCCGCCGAGAGAAAGTGCACACGTCCGAGCCAAGGTGCAGGCTGAAGCAGGCTCAAGCAAGCAGCCTCAAAGCGTTCCCTGGGAGGTCGGACAGCCAGGCCGAAGGCGCTCGATCCTCTGGGAGGCAGCCCGCGGCGACTCGGCCCGCGGCGGCCCAGTCGCGCGCCACGGCTGGTGAGAAGCCCGGCGCAAAGGCAGGCGCGCCGGGAGGCCCGCCCAGCCCGCGCGCGGCGCCTCGATCGTGGGCGGCGCTACGGCGGCCGGACGGCGAGCGGCCGCCCCGTCGCCCATGCCCCGCCTCCCTCCTCCCTCCTTCCTGCCCTCCCTCCTCCTTCCCTCCTCCCTCCCTCCTCCCTCCCTTCGCCCCCTCTTCTTCTTCTTCTTCTTCTTCCTCCTCCTCCTCCTCCTCCTCCTCCTTTTTCTCCTCCTCCTCCTCCTCCTCCTCCTCATCCTCCTCCTCCTCTGGTCCTTCTCATCCTGCTCCTCCTCCCTCCCCCTCCTCCTCCTCCTGCTCCTCCTCCTCCTCCTCCTTCTCCTCCTCCTCCTCGATCCTCTTCCTCCTCCTCCTGCTCCTGCTCCTCTCTCCTGCTCCTCTCTCCTCCTGCTCCTCTCCTGCTCCTCTCTCCTCCTGCTCCTCTCTCCTGCTCCTCTCTCCTCCTCCTGCTCCTCCTACTCCGCCTCCTCCTCATCCTCCTCCATCCCTTTCCCTGATGCACAACTCCTCCCTGTCGCATCCTGAGACGCGTTGGTCGGGTGGGCCAGGCGTGTCGCCCGAGACCTGCTCGCCACGTATGATCCTGACGCTTGGAATTTGCCGCAGAGGTTTCAAAGATACAGGGCGGCCCGACATCAAAACGTGGCTCTCCCCTTCGCGCCATACACACATTCGTCTTAAACAGTTGCAGAACCTTCAAGGGTGGAGGGCGGCCCGTATTCATAATGTGGTTGCCGCCGTCGCGCCGCGCAAATCCGTCGTGAAGGCTTGCAGCCGTTTCAAAGACGAATGGCGGTTCTGTTTCGAAATGTGGCTGCCGCCTTCGCGCCGCGCACATTCGTCTTCAAAGTCTGCAGCCGTCTCAATGCGTCGTATGGTTGAAATTCCAAGAATGGTATTCTGGCACGACTTAGGATTGTCAAGACGATCTTCAGGACACAACAATCACGCTGATTCATTGTGTTCGGGTCCCGGGAAATGCGTTCTGGCACGATTTGGGATTTGCCGAGGCGCAGCAGTCACGTCGACTCGCGGCGATGACGTCCCAGGAAAGCGCTTGGGCAGCACTGGGGGATTCTCAGACGGCTGTCCCCCGACGGGGCACCTCCCGCCGTGAAAGCAACTCAGAACCATGAAGAGGTTTGCGACACGCGGCGGAGCCCTCCTCGGAGGAGAGCCCCCCGCGCCGCGGAGCTGTGCCCGCTCTCCCCAGACAGCCCTTTCGCTTCTGCCTTTTCCTGAACTTCCTCCTCCTCCTCCTCCTCGTCCTCCCCCACAATAAAGCAATATGAATACTACTCTCCTCTCTCCCCCGGTGGCGTCGAGCCCCCCAAGAGGCCCCAGGGGAGCCCAATACGCCGCCAAGGAGCCCGAAGACGCTCCCAAGAAGCCCCCAAGAAGCCCCCAAGACGGCCCCAAGAGGCTCCAAATAGCGCTCCAGGACCGGCGGAATGAGCGAAGCGATTAATAAAACAATATGAATACTACTCTCCTCTCTGCCCCCGTGGCGTCCGGCCCCCCTCCGCGTACTGTTATTTATACAAATTGGATTACCCAGAAACGGGTTTTCGCGCTTGGGTTTTTGTTCGCGAAATGCTGCTCTCGCTGAAGCGCTGGCCTCATTTTCGGGCTACCGCTCGTTCCGAATCGTGCTCCCGCTGCAGCGCTGGCGTCATTATTTCCAGCGCCATGCCACGGCACGGTTTTCGATCCTTCCAAACCGGCCCCAAAATCTAGAAAATGCCTCCCGAAAAAACCATCGGAAGTGATTACACATTCGGTGCCGATTCGTTGATTTTTTGGCGCCGCGAAGCCCCCCCCACTTTGGGGCGTCGCCGCGCCATGCTATGTCAGGCTACGCGTTCTCATTTCCGCGTTTCCGCGCTTAGGTTTTTGTTCGCGAAATGCTGCTCTCGCTGAAGCGCTGGCCTCATTTTCGGGCTACCGCTCGTTTCGATTCGTGCTCCCACTGCAGCGTTGGCGTCATTATTTCCAGCGCCATGCCACGGCATGGTTTTCGATCCACCCAAGTGGCCCGCCAATCTAGAAAATGCCCCCCCGAAAAACCCATTGGAAGTGATTCCTCATTCGGTGCCGATTCGTTGATTTCTTGCACCGCAGAAGCCCCCCCCACTTTGGGGCGTCGCCGCGCCATGCTGTGTCAGGCTGCGCGTCCTCATTTCCGCGCTTCCGCGCTTGGGTTTTTGTTCGAAATGCTGCTCTCGCTGAAGCGCTGGCCTCATGTTCGGGCTACCGCTCGTTCCGAATCGTGCTCCCGCTGCAGCGCTGGCCTCATTGCCGCGCTTCTGGTCTTTCCGAATCGTGCTCCCGCTGCAGCGCTGGCGTCATTTCCAGTGCCATGCCACGGAATGGTTTTCGGTCCTTCCAAATAGGCCCCAAAATCAAAACAATGGCCTCCCGAAGAAACTATCGGAAGTGATTCCACATTCGGTGTCGATTATTTGATTTGTTGGGCCGCAGAAGCCCCTTCCCTCATGTTGGGGTGTCGCCACGCCATGCTATGTCATGCTACGCGTTAATATTCAATACCATGCTATGCCATGTGATGTTACGCCATGCTACGACATGCGATTGTGCGAATGGGGAGGAGATCTGCGCCATGGTAAGGGATGAGAGGGAGGGGTAGGACGTCAGATATGATGCGAGCGCACCTAGCTTGTCCCCCTCCCCCTCCCCCCTCCTCTCCTCTCCTCCTCCTCCTCCTCCTCCTCCTCCTCTCCTCCTCCTCCTCCTCCTCCTCCTCCTCCTCCTCCTCCTCCTCCTCCTCCTCCTCCTCCTCTCCTCCTCCTCCTCTCCTCCTCCTCCTCCTCCTCCTCCTCCAGGAAGGGTCGCCGATGCGCCTCTTGGGTTCGCACTGCCCCCCTGTTGCGACGGCAGCCCCCGGCCGTCCGAGCCAGCCGCGCCGCCCCCGCCCGGGCGGGGCGGAGCGCGCAGCGGCCGGCAGGGGCCGCGGGCCGCGGCAGCGGGGGCCCGCGAAAAGGGGTGACTCGGTGGGACGGGGGGGGAGGAGGGGGAGGAGGAGGAGGAGGAGGAGGAGGAGGGGAGGAGTGTAGTAGGAGGAGGAGATAATTAGAGGGGAGGAGGAGGAGGAGAGGAGGAGAGAGGAGGAGGAGGAGGGGAGGAGGAGGAAGGAGGAAGAGGAGAGGGGAGAGGGAGGGGGAGGGGGGGAGGAGGAGAGGGGGAAGGGGGGGGAGGGGAGGGGGGGCGAGGGCAAGCGGGCGAAGGGGGAGGACGGGGGGCGAGGCGCGGAGGCGGGGACGACGAGGCAGGGGGGCGAGGAGGGACGAGGGACGAGGGGGGGGAGGAGGAGGCCGAGGAGGGATGATATGGGAGGATGGGGGGGAGGAGGGAGGGAAGGACGAGGGGGGACGAGGGCGGACGCGGGTGGAGGGCGAGGCTGGAGGGGGACGAGGGGGGAGGACAGGGACGGGGAAGAGGAGAGAGGGGAATGGGGCAGGTCAGGGGTGCGCTCGCGCCACACCCGACATCCTGCCACTCTCACGCATCCCTTCCCAGGGCGCTGATTGTCTCTCTCTCTCCGCCGACGGGTGCCATGGCGGACCTGGAGCTCCAGAAAAGACCCCTATCGTGTCATGCGCAATCGGAGAGGGAAGACGCGTGCCTTGGAGGAGGAGGTGGCGAATGAGCAGGAGGATGAACAGGAGGAATAGAAGAAGGATGAGAAATGAGGAGGACGAGGACGAAAAGCAGCAGCACTAACTGGGGTGGAAAGAGCGCGATGGGGAGGAAGAGGAGGAGGAGGAAGAGGAGGAGGAGGAGGAGGAGGAGGAGGAGGAGACGGCGAACCAGGGACGGCGGAGGAGAAAGGAGTGAAGGCGACAACGACGAACGGCTCGGATCCATAAAAAGTGGCCCGCGCTTAGGGGGGGACGAGAGCGCCATTCTGAACGACGGAAGCAACGTGCCGATCCAACACGCTGCAGCAGGTTCGGACACATTCAGATTGGCAAAGTGGACGCAGCTGCTCTTATTTTTATTAAAGCTCGGAGCGATCTGTGTGAAAGCCATACGCGGAGGGAGGCGCGCCGCCACTCTCAAGACGTCTTCGGGGGAAAGACGGGAGTAGTATGCACAGTGAGTAGTTATGCGCGGGATGTGGGAGACGGGGGGAGCATTGCCGAGAGGGAGAGGGCAGGGAGGGGAGAGGCGGGATGAGGAGGGAGGAGGAGGAGGAGGAGGAGGAGGAGGAGGAGGAGGAGGAGGAGGAGGAAGAGCAGGAGGAGGAGGAGAAGAGGAGGAGGAGGAGGAGGGAGGAGGGAGGAGGAGGAGGGGGAGGGGGAGGAGGAGGAAAGCTCGGAGCGATCTGTGTGAAAACCATACGCGGAGGGAGGCGCGCCGCCACTCTCAAGACGTCTTCGGGGGAGAGACGGGAGTAGTACGCACAGTGAGTAGTTATGCGCGGGATGTGGGAGATGGGGGAAGAGTGAAGCTGAGCATGCCCAGGAGCAGGGTCAGTGGCCGAGGGGGAGAGAGCAGGGATGGGGAGAGGCGGGATGAGGAGGGAGGAGGGAGGAGAGGAGGAGGGAGGAGGGAGGGAGGAGAGGATGAAAGGAAGAGGAGGAGGGATGGAGGGGAGGAGGAGGAGAGGAGGAGGAGGAGGAGGAGGAGGAGGAGGAAGGAGGAGGAGGAAGAGGAGGAGGAGGAGGGAAGGAGGAGGAGGAGGAGGGAGGAGGAGGAGGAGGAGGAGGAGGAGGAGGGGGAGGAGGAGGAAGAGGAGGGGGAGGAGGGGGGGAGGAGGCGGAGGAGAGGAGGAGGAGGAGGAGGAGGAGGGAGGAGGAGGAGGAGGAGGAGGAGGAGGAGGAGGAGGAGGAGGAGGGAGGAGGAGGAGGAGAGGAGGAGGAGGAGGGGGAGGGAGGAGGAACAGGAGGAGGAGGAGGAGGCGGAGGAGGAGGGAGGAGGAGGAGGAGGAGGAGAGAGGAGGAGGAGGAGGAGGAGGAGGGGGACGGGGATGAGCGGTGGCGCGGTGGATGAGGGGGGCGGGGAGGAGGAGCGGCGAGGAGGAAGATGGGGGCTGGCGAAGCCAGGCCTCGGCACGGCGTGGCGCCCAGCGGCCTAGCCGTTCCTGACGAGGCCGCGAGCCTGGCGCGCCGCGAGGCGGGAGGGGCAGGGAGGGGAAGACGAGTCGCCTCGAAGCAGGCCCTTGGGGTACCGATTTCGCCCGATCTCGCAAAGCGCCCGGGGCATCGGCTGGCAGCTTGCCACTTCTTTGAAGGGGCCCCAGGTCACACAAATAGATACACACAAAGAAAAAGATTCCCCGTATTTTCCCATGTTTTCTGGGTTTCTGTCTTCCCCCCCACTTCCCATATTTCCGCATATTTTCTGGGGAATCGAGGATTAATTGTGTCTGTGTGTTTCTTTTCCTCCTGACACTGTGCAGCTTCCTCAACGACCCCATCTCGTGGGGCCACCCGTGCGGGCAGGAGAGGCTGCGCCGGCGGCCTGCTGCTCCCTCGTGTGCCGACTAAGCTGGAGGAGGACGTGTTTCACTGCATTATCCTACGCTTCCCTGATCAAAACAACTAACTCACCTCGAGATGGTTTCTTGATGGGATAGCGGGTATACTTTTTTTGGTCGGCGGCTCCATGGCGAAAGTGATGAGGCGGGACTACGTCCGGGGCACGGAACGAAGATAATTGGCCGCAGTGGCGTATGCACATGCTAGAGACAAAATGACCCTCATTGAGACGCCAGTGGCGTCGGCAGGTGACCGGCACAGACACCCCAGCGGGTGGGGACGCAACCCCAGATAGCGGGTATACGCGAAACGTCAAACTCTCACCAACCCTCTGGGCGTAGGTAATTTACAGAGCGTACCCTTCCAATCCTGATCTTCCCCTTCAGGGAGGGGTTGGTCACTGCTCTTTTCTGGTGCAGGAGAGCCCAACATCGAATCGATAAGTCGGATCGGCGATCGAAATGAGTCGGATCGGCAGAAATCGGCAGCCAAGTCGGGAGAAGTCGAATCGGCAGAAATCGGCAGGCCAGTAGGCCTCCATTGAGGAATCGGCACATCCGAATCGGAATCCGAAGTCGAATCGAATCCGAATCGGAGGCCATCAAAATCGAATCGAATCGAATCGAATCGAGTCGGAGGAATCGAGTCGGATGGGACCCATCGTTCTCTACTAGACAGGCCGCCAACCAGAAACCATGAGCTCATCACCCCACCCTCCTCGTCACACATGTTCCTGGCGAGGAACCCAATGATATGCAGTTGTAAGTACCGCAGTTGTGAATCTCGTCGTTGGAGAAGCTCCCTTTTGGGGGCACGAAAATTGTGTGAGGGATATGCCGAAAATGGGAGAGGAGCTGCATGCGAACCCGGCCACTGGGGCCTTCTGTGGAGCTCCCTGTGGCACGCCACGTGTGAATGGTGTGCCGACATGGGGGGTGGAGCCGCATGCAACCTTGCCACTGGTAGGGGTCGAAAAATTACATAAACATAAAAACTCGGAGGTCCGCGCGGATTTCTTGGATCCGCGCTGGACCGCGCCGGAGGCGCCGCCAGGGGGTCCCAGCGCCGATCCGAGAAATCTGCGCGGACCACCGAATTTTTATGTTTATGTCATTCTTCGTCCCTGACTGGGGCCTTCCGTGGAGCTCCCAAGCACAAAACGTGTGACGGGTATGCCGACATGAAGGTGGAACCGAAGCGAACCCTGCCACTGCGGCCTTCGGTGGAGCTCCCTATGGGGCCGCGAAACGTGTGAGGGGTGCGCCGACGTGGGGGTGGAACCGCATGGAATCCTGCCACTGGAGCCTTCGGAATGGCCACAGATGGGGGCACGAAACGTGTGACAAGTGTGCCGAAATTGGGGGGCGGGTGGAACCGCATGCGAACCCAGCTACTGGGACCTTCCGTGGAGCTCCCTGTGGCACGACACGTGTGAGGGGTGTATCGGCATGGGGGGGGAATCATATGCGAACCCTGCCACTGCGGCCTTCGGTAACTCCCTATGGGGCCACGGAACGTGTGAAAGGTGTGTCGGAATGGGGTGGGCCGCATGCGAACCCTGCCACTGCGGCCTTCGTTGGGGCTCACCATGAGGCAACGAAGCGTATGAGGGGTGCGCCGAACTGGGGGTGGAACGTCATGCGAATCCTGCCATTGCCGCCGTCGGAATGCACGAAACGTGTGAGCGGTGTGCCGAAATGAAGGTGGAACCGCATGCGAACCCTGCCACTGCGGCCTTCCGTGGAGCTCCCTGTGGGGGCACGAAGCGTGTGAAGGGTGTGCCGAAATGAAGGTGGAACCGCATGCGAACCCTGTCACTGCGGCCGTCGTTGAAATTCCCTACTGGTGCACGAAGCGGGGGAGGGGTGTGCCGACATGACGGTAGAACCGCATACGAACCCTGCCACTGCGGCCAATGAAGTTCCCTATTGTGCACGAAGCGTGTGAGGGGTGTGCCGACATGAAGGAGGAGGAGGAGGAGGAGGAGGAGGAGGAGGAGGAGGAGGGCTAACGCTTCAGGCATCGGGCCGAAGTTCGCGCAACGTCAAAGAGGAGGAGGAGGAGGAGGAGGAGGAGGAAGAGGAGGAGGAGGAGCGCAAGGCGCTCTCTTCAGAGCGAGGGCCCTCTCTCCAAAGCGAGGACCCAACACCACAGGGTGGCAGGGAACAATACGAGGTGCACGTCACGGCAAGAGCTGGACCACGCGCGGGCACTCCGCGAGATGAATTTGCTCCGGCTGCTCTCACGGCAGGTGCGCTCGGATCGCGGGCGCGGACACCGTGGGCCGTGCTGACGCCTCCGTCGCAGCTCGGCGCCTGCTCCGGCCAAGGATGGCGCGGGGGCGTCTCGACCGATTGCCCCGCAGTGTGCTGCCGCGTGCGCCGGAGCACCCGTCGCCGCCTGCCGCACTCCGCGGGCGCCGCGCGGCCGGAGCGTGCGGCAGACTTGGCGCACCGAGGGCGCACCTGGCGCGCCGAGGGCGCGTGGGCCCCCAGGGCCCCCTCGCGCACCTGGAGCGCGCGGCACACCTCGCGAGCGTCGCGCACCTGGCATCCGTATTGGTTCCCAACGGCTGCCCATCCGATGGCGGCGTCTGTCGATGCTGAGTCTCGGGTTATGCCTACATGCAGAGGGGGCCAGTCCACAGGGCACCTTCCACAAGAAACCCAACCCTGAGACGCCAGGGCGTTCAATCATTTTCCAGTGTGGGAACGTCGCGCTCTCCACCGCAAAACCATCGAAACCCAAGAAGCCCAGGGCACCCTGGAGGCAATCGGGGTGTTTCTTGACATGGGCCTCCACTGTAGTGGGAGCGCGGGTGGCAGTGAGCGAGACAGCTTGTGGCGTTCCCGTTGGGAACTTGACCACTCCCCCCTACCCCTCCCCTGGCCAAGATGGCCTCCATGATGGCACTGGATAGACCAGTATGGCTTCCAACATAGTCGGACCTAGGCCAGAAGAACACCCCTCAAGAACACGAGACCCTCCGCCGGCCAAAACACACAGAATGTCCAAGGGTACCCTCCCAAGGGTGCACAAGAGCATCCAACAAACGCAATAACATTAGGGTACCCTCCCCGAACCGCCCTCGATGTTGTACCTCGGTCCGACTGTACATGTTTCTTTGCCCTGCCCCCGCGGGAGGAAGTGTCACTGTGGCAGAATCAGCTGCCAAGTCTCCAATCTAACTCCTCCATGCGCGCCCCAACTGGCAATGCCAGATGAAGTGCACTAGGAGCTGAAGCTATGCAGTCACAAGCTTGACTACTGCTGGAGGATTGATGAGAGTTGATTGATGTCGGAGCGCCCAACTCTGGAGGGATTTGAGCCATTATTCCTCCATGTGGTCAAAGGCGGGTAGCTGGGCGTATTTCGTGGGCCGTTGGGGAAAGGAAAAGGAAATAATAACGCCCAAGAGCGCACCACGAGCGGCCGAAGCGGACTCTGAGAAAACACGTTTCAGGCTCCAGACATGTGCTGCGAATCGGTGCCATCCCGTGCTTTATCGATGCCCTCTAAGATGGACCCCCTGAGACGGGCCCGACAAAAACCAAAAGGCTTCTAAGAGTATCCCAACAGCGCCATAACATCCCCAGTAAATAGTAAATATTGAATGAGATCCAAGATCGAAACGTCCGCGACGGCCTTTGTGGTTGACTCATGGACCTGCTCAAGCTGATCCCGAGCTTTGGATTGACGGCTTCCCCCCTTTGCTCTACTGCATGCTCCTGCGCTTCCACGACCAAGGCAACTCGCCTGGGGATCTTTCCTGAATGGGCTGGTTGGGGTACGTTAAGCGTCCATAACTGCTCATCAAACACCCTATCATATTGACATGACGACGTGCAAACGGCCTGGAGGGTAACTGCCACATGTGCTGAATTCTGCCATGCAATCCGCACCACTCATGACAAGATCAGTCAGCATCAAACCGGGAAGTCGGATCGGATCGGCGCTTGCGTCGGACTGTGCTGCATCGGCACGACATCGAAATCGAGTTGGACCGGCCCCGCCACGATGCACAGCAGCGCCGCGCAAGCATCGGGCCGCATCGGACCCTCAGGGGCGGAATCTGCTCGGGCCGGCCCGAAACGACACCGAACCGGACCGATCCCATCGAGTCGGGCTCCACGAACTCCCGCCCCTCCGCCCCCTGGGCGCGGCTGCACGTAGAGGCCTGCGCGCTCAGGAGGAGGAGGAGGAGGAGTAGGAGGAGGAGCAGGAGGAGGAGGAGGAGGAGGAGGAGGAGGAGGAGGAGGAGGAGGAGGAGGAGGAGTAGGAGTAGGAGGAGGAGCAGGAGCAGGAGCAGGGGGAGGAGGAGGCGGAGGAGGGAGGAGGAGGAGGAGGAGGAGGAGGAGGAGGAGAACGGCTGCGGGCGCCAGGCTGTTTTCCGCACTTCGCGCGTCCGGGCGCAGCTGGCTGCGGCCGAACGGTTCCTCGGAGGAGGCCGCCCTCTGCGCCGGGTGCGCCGGGGGCGCGGCCGACTGCGAGCTGGAACTGCGGGCAGTGGCCAGGGCGCAGAGGGGGGCCACGCGGCCAAAGGGGCGGCGCGCATCGGCCGAGCGGAGGAGCCGCTCGCGGGGGCGGGTGCGCGCCGCGCCTCCTCCGGGCACAGGGGGCGAGGGTCCGCCCGGGGAGGCAGCAGAGCGGGGGGGGGGGTGGGGAGGGGCTGGGGGGGAGGGGCGGGGGGAGGAGGGGGGGGGGGGGGGGAGGAGGGTAAGGAGGGGGAGGAGGGGCGGGGGGGAGGAGGGGGAGGAGAGGGGGGTGGGGTGGAGGAGGGGCCGGGGGGGAGAAGGGGGAGTAGAGGGGGGGAGGGGGGGGGAGGGGGCCGGGTGCTGCCCAAGGTATTCTCGGAATCAGGTGTCATCAGAGAGCTCACAGGAGCTCCGGAAATGGCGCGCGAAGCGGGAGGTACATAGCTTGGGCCAGGAACACCTTTGGCAACCCTGGAAGGGGGGAATAGTGGAAGATCGCTACGTCGGCGCTACGAAAGTTTTGACCCGTTTCGTGCTTCCACCAAGAAGGGTGTCGAACGCCGGTTTATGGAGGAAATCCTGGACGGGAGCGCCATTTCGACATCGAACCAGAAAGGTTTCGAATTCTGGTTTGGAGGAATTCTTGGGCGGGAGTACCATTTCGAAATCGAATCCGAAAGCTTCGAAATCGTTCGAACATGTTTTTTCGTTGAAGAAATCCCAAGCGAAACCGTCGTTTCGAAATGTCCACACCGTTTGGCATCTAAAACTTTTAGTTTCTGGCCAGAGATTTCGTCGAAAGTGTGAATTTCGGTTGAGACTTCCTCTAGAAAACGATCTCGACTGGATTTCGAAACCATCGGGCTCGAATTTTGAAGGGCGGTTCCGCCCGCGGGCGTATTGCCACTGGCAACGTTGTACGGGGGCCCCGTCAACTAACGGGAGGCGCTGCATTTTGGCCGAACTTTCGTAGCGGCGATGAGAGCGTCATGACTTTTGCGCTTCCTCAACTCGCACTGGATCTTCCGCGGCTCTCCGGATTTCTCTGGCGATCTCTGGATTCACCTTGTTTCGTCTAGATGTACATCGCACTGGGCAGATTCACCTTGCTTCATCTGGCCTTGCCCTCGCGAGTCGATCGGAGAAGAGTCGTCAAACTCTCAGGGAGGGGAGGGGAGGGCGAGATGGAAGACAGGCGCAGCCAGCATTCCATCGCGAAGTCGGATCGGATCGGAGCGTGCGTTGGATCGGCCTGCACCCAGAGATCCGATGTCGTGATTTTTTCAATACGCGGTCCCCAGAGGTCTCGACCCATTTGCCAGGACCGGTTTTTCACCCCGAGTCGTTTTTTGACGGTCCCGAGGCCCGGCGAGGGCTTCCAAAGGCCCAGAGCGGCGAAAAACCGCCGTCTTGCTTTTTGCAATGCGCTGGATCTCTGGGCATCGGCCCCGAGCCGAGACCGAATCGGATCGGCAGCGCGCAGAGGCACGGCAGCATCGCGCGGGCAGCGGGACGCACCGGTCCGCTGGAACATCGGAACATGCGAAACCGGAACGGATATGGAGGAGGAGGAGGAGGAGGAGGAGGAGGAGGAGGAGGAGGAGGAGGAGGAGGAGGAGGGGGGGAGAAGGGGGGGAGGAGGATGGGGAGGAAGAGGGGAGGAGGAGGAGGGAGGAGGAGGAGGTAGGAGGCGGAGGAGGGGAGGAGGCGGAGGAGGAAGGAGGAGGAGGAGGAGGAGGAGGAGGAGGAGGAGGAGGAGGAGGAGGAGGACGAGGAGGGGCAGCGGGACGCACCGGGCCGCGAACATGTCGGAATAGCCGAAACCGGAGCGGGTCCAGCCCGCGGCCGGGGATAATCGAGAGGCCGAGCCGGCATATCGAGCCCAGCGCACCGAAGTGGGCCCCGAGGGCGTGCAGGGCGCCAGGGGGGGACGGGGGGAGGACGAGGACGAGGGAGGGGAGAGGAGAGGGGGAGGAGGAGGAGGAGGAGGAGGAGGAGGAGAGGAGAGGAGGAGGAGAGGAGCAGCAGCAGCAGGGAGAGGAGGAGGGGAGGGGCGAGGACGAGGGAAAGCGGGACGAGAGAGGAGGAGGAGGAGGAGGGAGGAGGGAGGAGGAGGAGGAGAGGAGGCAGGAGGAGGAGGAGGAGGAGGAGGAGGAGGAGGAGGAGGAGGGGACGAGGGGCTTTGGGAGGCGGGGGGGGGCCGAGGGGAGGCGACGAGGGAGGGGACGAGGGAGGGGCGAGGGATGGGCGAGGGC